TGGTTTTTTTTTTTTTTGCCTCCTTTGCTGCATGTGATGGTTGGTTTCCCACTTTTGCATCATTCAGTCTCTGCAGCGCTTGGCTTTGTTGACCACTCTCTTCTTGAGGTTCTTTTCTCAGCTTCTGTGAAACTGCCCTCCTTCCTTATTCTCCTGCCTCTGGGTAACCCTCTGAGTCGCCAAGACCCCTCGTCCTGGTCCCAGTTCTCATAGCTCCTCTGCGTTGGTCCTGCAACCAACACAGATCTCTGTCTCCTAACCACCCCCATCCCGCCCCCACCCCATATGAAACCAGTATATATGCAACTCCAGCTAAACATCTCCCCACTAAAGAATCACTAGCACCTTAAGCTCAGAACATCCAAACCTGTCATCTTGTTACATCACCCCCCAAAACATGTGATTCCTCTTGTAGTGTCAGTAAATGGCACGAACATTTCCCTAGTTACCCAAGTCAGAAGACTGTGCGCCACCTCGTCCTTCCTTACCCACCATCACGTGTTGCCAGCCCCTGGGTGTCCCGTCTTCCAGACAACTGACCCCACCTCCACTGCCCCTGCCTCCCCGTTTCTCACCGAGTTCGTGGCAACGACCTCCCAAAGGGTCTTGCATCCTCCAGGCAGGTCTTCCTCTGACTCTAACATGCTGCCTTGAGTCATCTTTCTAAAGTCAAAGAAATCGGATTTTTTTCCTGCTTCAAAAATAAAACCGTTAGCCAAAGCCTTTATAATGAAGTCTTAAGTATGGCAGAAAAAGCTGTCCATGGTCTAACCCCTGCTCTGCCCTCAGCATGCTTCTCTGTCCTGATTCACACCCTTGTCAGCATACGCATGCTGCTGTAGATTGAATCAGACCCCCGAAAATTCATGTTTAAATCCTACCTGCAAGGTGATGGGACTCGGAGGTGGGGCTTGGGGCATGTGCTTAGGTCATGAGGGTGGGTCCTCATGAGTGGGAGTAGTGCCCTTATAAAAGACCCCAGAGAACTCCCTTGCCCCATCTACTACTTGAGGGTACAGCAAAAATGGCAGTCTGCACCCCGGAGGAGGTCTCTCGCCAGAATCTGACCACACTGGTGCCCTGATGTCAAACTTCCAGCCTCCAGAATTGTGAGGAAAAAGTTTCTGATGTTTGCAAGTCACCCAGTCTATGGTAATTTGCTGCAGTGGTCTGAACAGACTGAGGCACCCTTCTGCTTGAGTTGCGCTGAGTAATTACACTTCCTCTAGTCTCTCTGCCTTGCTTCCTACCTGCTGCTCCTTTTACATAGAATTCCCATCCACACCGCATCCTCCCCACCTCTCTCTCCCAGCCCACTCCTGCTGCATCATCAGGACACGGTCTCACCATCGTTGGTCAGGGAATGCTCAGTGAGCTTGTGCCCTGCACCAGGCACCACGGTGAATGCTAAGCGTCAAACAGGAGATACTTTTCTCTGGGCCCTGAACCTCCCCATCCCATTTGTTCAAAGTTGCACAACCAAAGAAGAAGGTAGAGTGATGAATGTAGAACAGTAGACAAATTCATGAATTATCTGATATTTACTCCAGACAAAGAAACAGATTCCTTTAGCTATAGGACCTCCATTTCCAGGGGCCCTCGTGACTGGCTGCCACTTGTGGTTGACGGAGGTATAGATGCCCAAAGTTTCCACCTGTCACATTAGAGAGACAAACTGAATCAAAGTGCTTGGGCCCTGGAGGCCACTCTAATGAAGGATGTAGGTAACATGCAGATTAAATAAGCCACAAGTTTGCTGAACCCTCCTCCAACCTGTAAAAGCAGAAAATCAGTTGTCAGTCTCCACTTACAAATGTATTTGAAGCAGGAAGAGAGGAAGGCACAGGGGCTGCTCTGCCTTTATACTGGCGCGTTGTATTTTCCTGGAAGTAATTTTCTTTCAGGGACATATTAGGCCGTAGATAGATAAAATTAATTCAAACTTTTTATCAGCTTTCATCCGGAACAACAGAAAAATGGACAGTGGACTGATTCAAGATGAATTCAGTATGAGGAATCAGCCCAGATGACTATCACCTGATTTTCTGAATCAGTTTGCTCAGGGAGAAACTGACTAATAATGAAGAACTAAGGACTCTGAGGCCAGTAGTCATGTGCTCCTGACATTTTATTCCATTAGGGATCTGGACCCATGAACCACAATGTGCATAGGTATGTTTAGTACGTGATGGTGGTGCTCGGTGGTGGAACTTCCCGTGTGAATGGCTAACAATTCAAACTCAGGCTGCCACGCTGACTGCATGGAAGTGT